GCTATGATTGTGCCACGGCACTCCAGCCTGGGTGACAGAGTGAAACCCTGTCTGAAAAAAAAAACTTCATCTCTTTCTTCCTTTAGTTCTGTCAGTTTTTGCTTCATGTATGTTGAAGCTCTCAAACAAGTTGATAACTGTCCTGCCTTTCTGTTGTATTGATCCTCTTTTATCCTCATGAAATCATAAGTAGTAATTGTTGAACCCGCGACTCTAATGAGAGAGATATAGAGACCACAAAGAGCCAGCTCCGATGCAATCACACGAGGGTCTTTATTCAGGCTCGAGTCTGGGCTCACGCCCGAAGCAGCAGCTTCAGGGACCAGAGCCCCGATTCACAATGGCAAGCAGTTTTTATGCACAATTACAGAGGGAGGGGAAAGAACTCCAAACTTGATTTTACATGATTGGGTAATTTCTCCTAATGGGTACGGGAATACCTGGTATTGGTGGGTGTTGCCCGTGATTGACAGAAACCCACGTAATGGGTCGAGTGAAATGTTAGATAAGTTAGGTCCATACAATCTCGGTTTATGAAGTAACCTGGGCCGGCAGACAAAGGGTTACATTAGCCCTTTTAGTTTACCGATCCAGCCCAAGGCTTACTTAGGAAAACTTGTTTGCTTAACTTTTGCATAGTCATTATGGGACAACAAAAGCCAAACTTAACAAAGTTTTAAATATGAATGCTGCAAACACATACAGTGAATGTGGGGTAGAAAATCATATACTAATTCTGGGAATTTATAATAGCAAGCTTATAATAGCAAGGCAGTTACTTTATAAAGGTCTTTGTTCCCTGCAGGTTTACATAGCCACTGCTGTAAATTATCACTGAGATATAAACCGGTGATAAAGCCCACCTAGAGAGGAGGTGGCTCCTCTAAGTCTGGTGCCACCATGTAGGAATGTTTGAAAGAGGCTTATCGCTTTATCCTTTACATCCCGTTGTAAAAGCATAAGTTAGCCTACTGGTTTGGGTTTGACAATGCTTAACCCGAGGATTCTAAATACAAACACTGCTTAAAACCCGACATATGCCTAATTCTACGGGGTCTGAGGTAGGATTCAAAGTACTAAGATTTCATAAAATACATGAGGTAGTCATAAAATACATGAGGTAGGAATACACAAAATATATAGTAAACATGAGGTGGGGATATATGAAATATAATGAACTAAACGCTACTTTTACAGCAAATAAGTTTCTTGGTTTCTTGGGTCTCTCAATAGCATGCTCTTAACCTAAATCTATTGTTGTCCTCTCAGTAATAATCTTTATTTTGCAGTCTATTTTGTCTAATATTAATATAACCATGTCTTTTCCCCCTTTACCTTAATTGAGGACTTTCCCCCTGTAGATTATATTGGTTAGATACTCTTATTTCCCATAAAATCCTTCTAGTTAAATGAAACATTGAAATTTCATAATTGATCTTTAAATTTTTTTAAGCCTGAGTCTTGGGGTTTTCCACTTGTAGAAAAATTCCATTTATGGAAGATATCATCTAGTTCTTTCTGGAGCAGAGACTGCCTCCATTCCTCTTATGTTCAATTCTGTGATATTTTATTTCCAACAGAACAATTTTAAAAAACAACAGATTGAATATCACCTGAACACAAAAATTCAAAGCAACTCCAATGCAAAGAAAAGTGGCTATTTCCAGTATTTTTTTTCTTGAGTCGGAGTCTCACCGTGTCGCCCAGGCTGGGGTACAGTGGCACGCTCACAGCCACCGAAACCTCGACCTGCTGGGCTCAAGTGATCCTTCCACCTCAGCCTTCCAAGTAGCTGGAACTACAGGTGCGCACTACCTTGCCTAATTTTTTGATTTATTGTAGAGACAAGGTCTCGCCATGTTGCCCAGGCTGGTCTCAAACCCCTGGGTTTAGGCAATTCTTTTGCCTCGCCCTCCCAAAGTGCTGGGATTACAGACTTGAGCCACCACGCCCAGCCATTTCCAGTATTTTTAAGATTTTTTTTCATGATTTTTGAAAGAGGGGAGAGTTTATTTGAATTTTATTAAACACTTATTTGAACAATTGCTAGATCCTAGCATCTAGCAATACCCTAAAACTGTGCCTTTCTAAATGTTTGTCTCAGTTTGTTATTTTTCAGCAAATGCCTGTAGAGACATAAGAAAATTCTGTCTACAGTGAAGAAAATATATATAAAAAAAGGAATAAGCAAAATATGTTTCAGAGTATGATAGTTGGTTTTCCTTTTACAGATGATAAGAGCGGGTATTTATCTAAACAGCATGACTATATGGCTACCCAGTTCTAAAAACTAATTTTTTCAGATGCGGTGTTCAAAATTAGAATGACTGCAATTAGTTTCTTGTTCTTTCTACATGAAACATTGACATAGTGCCCTGAAATGTCTTTTTGCCTCTGTTCTTGCATTGTAGGGCATTTAACAGCATCCTGAGCTTCTACCCACTGGACACCAGTGATCCCTTCCCCAACTTGTCACAACTAAAAATGTCTCCAAATGTTATCAAATGTCCCTGAGGGAAAAATGTTTCCTAGTTGAGAACCGCTGACTTATATAAGCAGGCCACCAGCAGAGCACGATGACTGCCAGGTGGGTGGTGGGGCTCACTCAGTGGTCTTGGCTGAATCAGAGACCGTTTCGGGTCTAGGTTCACAAATCAAAGCCTGATGGTGGCCTCTTCCCATGCAGATCCCAGGAAGGAGCAGCAAGAGGTGCTCTATGAACAATAGCACAAGTGCCCTCAAAGAAAGAAACAATAGCACAAGTGCCCTCAAAGAAACAATAGCATAAGTGCCTTATGGGTATCTTTAGTCACCGCCCTTGCTCCAAGGAAAAAAGCAATTTCCAACATGTGGCTCAAAGCATGGTCTGCAGTGGTGTGTTCTCTGGAACCCTAGTTCTTCAGAATGGTAACTAGATAGTATGAGGGAGACCCCCAAAAAAACCCAAATTTATTTTTAAAAGTGTGTATGTATTCTTACATGTTTAAACTTCAGCCACCTTCACAGTACTCTCTGATGTAATATACCTGTCAAGACACTTTTTCCACAGCTCCAAGCAGTTTTTGAACTCATCAAATTCGATGCTTTTTAGTGCTTCTGCCGTTTTTTGTTTCACCTCTTCCACATCAGCAAAAAATTTCCCTTTGAGGACTTTATCATCTAGGGAAACAAAGTCATTCAGGGAATGATCGGGTGAATTGGGAAGGTGGGACACAGGGGTCATGCCATGTTTGGTAAAGCTGCTGAATGCTCAGCACAGTGTGGGCAGGTGTGCTCCTAAGTCACCCATCACGAAATGGGCAAACACACTGAATCTCTAAAAAAAATTTTTATTGATGGTGAATACAGCCTCTCACAACGTTGGCTGATGCCGATGGGTTCCTAGAACACTTACCTAGCAGGGGAACCCTGTACTATAGGGGACCCGCCTTCTAAAAAAAGATAATTCTGGTGGGTTTTTTTTTTTTTTCTTGGTCCCTCTTATATATAAAGAAAGAACCCTGGTCCAAAAAGTTTGGGAAATGTTGGTTTAAATAAAGGTAAACTGATTTCTTTATTTTTCAAAGTTCTTGAGAACTTTAATATCCCCTGTGAATGATGGCTATCCAAGAGGGACTAGCATGGGCCTTGTTCCCAAGCTTTTTGAACATGAAATTTCCTCATAAAGCATTTCCAGAGAAATAATGTGTGGGGCCACTTTGGCGAGGACTGTTCTAGAGACATTTGGGGAGGCACTGGTTCCTGGGCTGAGAGTGCTGGTGAGGAGGGTGGTGTGGGGAGAACTAAGCTGAGGAAGAATGAGAAGGTATGATGAGCCGACAAGGTCTTGATCTTGTCAAGGTATGTACCAGTGAGGCCATGATGGTTATTAGAACACTGAATGACTCACACTGTCCCTGGTAAATGGCTGCTGTGAGGACTTAGATCCAGCATGTTTGTCTCTGTCTTTTCTGAGTGGTTGTTGACCTGGCATGCAAGTTGCTAACATTTTGAATACCATCCTGGGTGTGTGGGATAGTAATGAAAATGGGGCCTAAAACATTTAGTCAGAAATATTCTTAGACTCTAAGGGCTATTCTATCTTCAGTCTATTCTTCAATATCAGACTCCCATTTGTTAGCTAGCATGAGAGTGACTTAAAATTTTCAGCCATGCCTGTAATTTCCCAGCACTTTGGGAGGCCGAGATAGGAGGATTGCTTGAAGCCAAGAGTTTAAGACTAGCCTGGGCAACACAGCGAGACCCTGTCTCTTCAACAAATATTTTAAAAAATTAGCTAGGTGAGATGGTGCATGCCCATAGTCCCAGCTACTCGCGAAGCTGAGGCAGGGGAATTGATTGAATCCAGGAGTTCAAGGCTACAATGGGCTATGAGTGTGCCACTGCACGCCAGCCTGGGCGAAAGAATGAGACTCCAACTCAAAAAGGAAAAATAAATTGAAAAACTACCAAGGACTCTTTCAGGATCTTAGATGGGGAAAATTTTAATGTGTGTTCTAAGCTATAAAAGAACACTGATTTCTATAAGACAATACAGAAATGAGGTATGCTTAACTTCATTTTTTTTTGAGTTGGACTCTCACTCTGTCACCCAGGCTGGCACACTCATGGCCACCCCAGTGTCAACCTGCTGGGCTCTGGCAATCCTTCCGCCTCAGCTTTCCAAGTAGCCGGAACTACAGGTGTGTGCTACCACTCCTGGCTAATTTTTTATTTATTGTAGAGATGAGGTCTCACCAAGTTGCCCGGGCTGGGTCTTGAACCTATGGACTCAGACATCCTCTAGCCTCCACCTCCCAGAGTGCTGGGATTACAGGTGTGAGCCACCATGCCTGGTCTTAACTTCAGTTTCTAATGGGAGAAATAAAACCTGATAACTTGCTTGAAATATTTGTGAGTTTTTACATTGTGATCATGAATAATAAGCAATGGTGTAGTAACTGTAACTTTAAAGCTGACCAGAATTGTCAATGAGTTATCTATTTTTACCTACACAATAGTATTGAGCAAGTGAACAGTCTACGAGAGATACAAGCACTGAGACGCCTGAATCCACACCCAAACATTCTTACGTTGCATGAAGTGGTTTTGTAAGTATATTTGGATCTTGGAAAATTATCTAAATTTGATGAAAATGATCATCTCTTTTAAAGAAGAAAAACTATGGTAGACATTTCTAATATTTGCTTTGTAGCTCAGAGAGTAACAATCTTTATTTAATCTTACATCACATTTTTATTTGCAAAAGTGTGTATCTGATTCTTAAGTGGGAAATACCTTTATTGAGGTAACTTTGTAGCATGAAAGCACATGTCACTCAAGCAGCTCATCTTCTGAGGTCTTGAGTTAGGCTTCTGAGGTCTTGAGTGCCAGGAAAGCACTGCTGTGTTATTTCAGGGACTCTGTGTTCTCAGTGTCCCTGCCAGTGGCCATTTTGGACAATCTCCTGTAACCTTCCTTACCATTATTGATATCATTTCTGGGGATTTTTATTTCTTTCTTTGTTGCAAGGTTTACCTTCCAGTCAAGCAGGCAGAGTACAGCACTTCCCTAAATGCCTCCTAGGCCTGTCCCCAGCAACTCTGTGCTGTGCTTCTGGACTTCATCTAGTCAAGCAGTCAGGCTTCAGGGTTTCGGAATCTGCTTTTCTGTGGACCTGAGTGGTACTGCCACTCTGGAAGGTCACCTCGGTGTAGAAGCTTTGCTATAGCTTTAGAGGGGCCCTGGCCTATAAGACCAGCCAAGGAGCTCCAGTCTCTGCCAGTTAAAGTCCAATAGATTTTAATCAGAGGATGAAACAGTTTTTTGTGTTTTTTTGAGTTGGAGTCTCACTCTTGTCACCCAGACTGAAGTGCAGTGACACGCTCATGGCCACCGCAGCCTTGGCCTGCTGAGCTTAGGCGATCCTTCCACCTCAGCCTTCCAAGTAGCTGGAACTACAGACGCACACCACCACGCCCAGCTAGATTTTGTGATTTATTGTAGAGACAAGTTCTCACCAGTCTGCCCAGGCTGGTCTCGAATCCTGGGCTCAGGCAGTTCTCTCGCCTCGGCCTCCCAAAGTACTGGGATTACAGGCTGAGCCACCGCACCTGGCCTAAAACAATTTTAAAGCCAAAATGAAATATTTTGTCATAGCTGTATGGCTTCTTGGCCTGTCATTCTTAGGAGGCTATTGAAACCAGGTCCGGAGGTTGCACTTTGCACATAATAGTCACAACACTGGATGTATTAATACGTCATGTGCTTTATATCACTTTACAAAGAAAATCTTGTGTGGGCCTCGGAACATGCAAGAGACAGTAATGGGACCCCTCCAGCCAGACTGGGGGCACCCAGCCAGAGCAGGGTCTGCAGGGACACAGGCTTCCCTGCTCAGGGCTTGGGGAACCCTTGAAGGGCCTGCTTGAACTTGGAGAAGCTGGTAATTCAGCCAGGGGCCTCTGCCCCATTCAGTGTCAGCCTAGATGTACATGGTGTGATGTGACTTGTTTTTCTCTCTTTTTTCCAAACCCTTATTGGTTTTTGGTTTTTGTTCTCCCATTGTAATGTATCCCAATTACATGGAAGTAACTTAGGTAAATTAAAACTAAATTTACAGTCACAGAGTATGAATTAAATTCTTTCTTTTATTGTTCTGCTTAGCCATTTCCCCGACCTTTTTTCTTCTTTCTGCTGATAGTTTTTTTTTTAATTGGAGACTCACTCTGTCATCCAGGCTGGAGTGCAATGGCATGATCACAGCTACCACAGCCTCAACCTGCTGGGCTCAGGTGGTCCTTTTGCCTCAGCCTTCCAAGTAGGTGGAACTACAGGTGTGCACCACCATGCCCAGCTACTTTTTTGATTTATTGTAGAAATGAGGTCTCACCAAGTTGCCCAGGCTGGTCTCGAACCCCTGGGCTCAGGCAATCCTCTTGCCTCTGCCTCTCAAAGTGCTATGCTTACAGGCATGAGCCACCGTGCCCAGTCTGCTGATAGTTAATTATATATTTTCAAGACATATCTCTTTTTAACTTTTAGAATTTTGCTCAAAGTAGGATTTTATTAGTATTTTAAATTAATTTTATCTGAAATGTTTTAAAGTCAAAACCTCTGCTGTTTCAGTAATTACACTGTAGTCTTTGATGTGGGAGTGCCTTATACTTGCCAGAGGTGTGTACAAATGAACTAAATATTTGATTATATTTTCTGATTAAGGCAAGAAAAAAAGTCATTTTGAAAACCTGCTTTCTTCCTCAGTGACAGAAAATCTGGTTCTCTTGCACTAATATGTGAACTTATGGACATGAATATTTATGAACTAATACGAGGTACGTAGAATAATTTGAAAGCTAATCTAAATGCTCTTTTAAGGCTTGTAATTCATATATGCTTTGTGGTTCTCATAATCATTAGTCATCATAGTGCAGTAGTTACAGATAAATAACAAGGTACAGGACTACTCCACTCAAAGGGAGGTGTTTTTCTGGCAGTCTCGTCTACTCAGAACATGGCTGCAAACAAGAAGTAAGGCCACAGGCCTTCTGGGCGACCATGGATTTGGTTGAGGATGGCATGGAAGGCAGGGGCAAGCCAAGTACCCGAGGCCAGGGCTTCTTCCCCACGGGCCTATGTACTCGGGTTTGGCTGACTCTGAGAGTCACCCTTCTTCTTGGTTCTGCTGTGATTTGACATTCTGTTTTGTACTCACAATAACCAGAGCTGCCCCACAAAATAATTACTCCCTTGAGAGGAAATCTCTTTCTATTTGGATATGTCTCATATTCTGGGAGGCTCATTCATTTCCTTTCTTTTGAACAATAGGGCCTGTTTAGGAGAGCACATGTGCCTGAGACGACCTCTGGTAGGGCTGGTTTTGGATTCTTCCAGAGGTCCCCCCAGGGAACAGGAAAAAAAGGAGGCAGGCGGCGGGGGTCTGACCTTAAGGTTGTGTTAGGACGAATGGACCTTGCATATATCGCTAAGAAAGCAAGAGAGCAAGTGTTATATTTCACAGATCACATTATCCCTAGAGGACAAGTGAAAAAAAATCAACCGTCCTATTGTCACTTGAGTGGCTACTTATGCCTTGAAATAGGATTTTGGTGACAGCATCATAGATGATCTAAAAACTGCTGAATTATCTCAAGAAATGTTGGCCAAGTGGCAGTTGATGTGCAATGGAGAGCTGTCAGATAAAGAAGAGGCACCGATGTTGAAGACCCACTGGAAGAGTTCAAATAAGATTGTTTTTGTGAAAAAAAAAAAAAGATTGTTTTTTGAAAAAGGAGAGTAGAAAAAGCATTATATCAAAATTTAAATATTTTATATGTGATCCAAAATATGTGTGTTATAGTAAATTACTAACAAAATAGTACGACCATAAACGTTGATGTATATAAGTTCATCAAACTTTTTGATTTTTGAGGGGAAGTAGGAGATTGTCTTATATCTGGGAAGGTGTGGTATTTCTTACAAGGTTCAAACTTCGTGCATTTTATTCATGGGTAAGCCCAACACTCAGTAACCTGTTTAATCTTGTTTTAAGTACAGTGCTAACAAACTTATATGGTTCTTTGACTTAAAATCCTTAAAAATAGAACTGGTAGAAAAATCTAGATCATACCAGGTATGGTGGATCACGCCTATAATGCTAGCACTTTGGGAGACTGAGGCAAAAGGATTGCCTGAGCCCATGGGCTCAAGACAGCCTGGGCAACTTGGTGAGACCTCTTGTCTACATTAAATCAAAAAATTAGCTGGGCATGGTGGCGTGCGCCTGTAGTTCCAGCTACTTGGAACAATATACCTGGACAATATAGCGAGACCCTATCTCTCTAAAAAAAAAAAATAGGACCTGGGTGCGGAGGCTCAAGTCTGTAATGCCAGCACTTTCGGAGGCCGAGGTGTGGGGATTGCCTGAGCCCACAGTTTCGAGAATAGCCTGAGAAACTTGGCAAGACCTCATCTCTACAATAAATACAGATATTAGTCAGATGTGGTAGCATGTGCCTATAGTTCTGGCTACTTGGAAGGCTGAGGTAGAAGGATTGCCAGAGCCAGCAGGTTGATGCTGGGGTGGCCGTGAGCATACCACTGCACTCTAGCCTGGGTGACAGAGTGAGACTCCACTCAAAAAAAAAAAAAAACTCTACATTATCATTTTGTTTAGTAACATTTCTCTCATATAAGAGGTATATTTTGGCCAGGAGTGTTGGCTCAAGCCTCTAATCCCATCACTTTGGGAGACTGAGGCAAGAGAATTGCCTGAGCCCAGGGGTTCAAGCTCAACCCGAACTACTTGGTGAGAACTCATCTCTACAATACATTTAAAAAAAATTATCCAGGCATGGTAGCGCATACCTGTAGTTGTAGCTACTTGGAAGGCTGAGGCAGAAGGATTGCCTGAGCCCAGCAGGTTGATGCTGGAGTGGCCTTGAGTGTGCCACTGCACTCTAGCCTGGGCAACAGAGTGAGACTCTAACTCAAAAAAAAAAGAGAGAGAGATTTTGTATTAGAATTATTGTTTTTGCTTCCTAGAGTGTGATATTTTCTAAGTCAAAGAGAGGGGAGAATTTTCAGCAAGTTGTTGTGTGTTTAGATATTTGAAAAAGCTTCGTTTAGAATAAATATATTTAGGGTAGGGCACAGTGGCCCATGCCTGTAATGCCAGCACTTTGGGAGGCCAAAGTGGGAGGATTGCTTGAGCCCTGGAATTTGAAACCAGCCTGGGCAACATAGCAAGACCATGTCTCTACAAAAAATTTTAAAAATTACCCGGGCTCGGTGGCTCCGCCTGTAATCCCTCACTTTGGGAGGCTGAGGTGAGTGGATTGCCTGAGCCCGCAGGTTGGCGAGACCTCATCTCTACAATAAATCAAAAATTATCTGGGCGTGGTAGTGCGTGCCTGTAGATCCAGCTACTTGGAAGGCTGAGGTGGAGGCATCACCTGAGCCTAGCAGGTCGAGACTGTGGTGGCTGGGAGGAGCCACTGCACTCCAGTCTGGGCGACAGAGTGAGACTCCAACTCAAAAAAAAAAAAATTAGCCGGGCCTGGTCACACATATCTGTAGCCTGAGCTACTCGCGAGACTGAAGTCAAAGGATCGCCTGAGCCCAGGAGGTCAAGGCTGCAGTGAGCTGTGATCGTGCCACTGCACTCCAGCTTGGGTGACAGAGTAAGACCCTGACTCAGGGAAAAAAAAAAGAACAAATGTATTTAATTTTCATTTGCAGAGGAATTGTATCATTGGATAAATTGAATCAATTTCTTTCAGTATCTGCCTACAAGTATTGTAGAAAACAGACCAGTATAGATAAGCAGACATGTGTTCATTACATGAATACTGAATGTCTTTCATAGGCCAAGTAATGTGTTTAGTGCACCGACTCTAAGATGCTGTCAGCAGTGTGGAGCATTCTAGGTTCAGAGATGTTAAAGCAAGGGTAGAACAGTTGACAGTGATTGCAAGGTACCAAATACTAAATATACATCTTGATTTCAGAGTTGGTAAAATGTGAAAAAAGGTCTCTCTGAGAATTGATGAAATATGGTGCCAGTGATAATAGCTAAGGGTTCACAAGTGCTGAAAACATCCCAGACACTATTCTCAGTACCGCAGGAGCCGGCTCATTTGACCCTCCCAGCAGGTATTGTTATGAGCCTGTTTTAAAGATGAGGATGTTTAAGGGGAGGGAGGTAAGTAATTTGTCTCAGGTTCTGTACCTTGTAAGTGGTTCAACTGGAGTTTGAACTGAGCCTGATTCCAGAGTGCGTGTTCTTAACCATCGCACATACTATCCATGACAACTCTGTGTGACTGGCACTATCATTATCCTCTCCCTTTTACAGATGAGGAAATTGAGGCTTGAAGGATTAAGTAATAATCCAGAATTAAGCTGTTGATAAATGGCAGAGCCAGGACATAAACTCAAGTCTGACCCTGAAACCTTCACTGTTAGCTCTCTTGCTGCCATGGGTCTCTATTTCAGGCCCTAGCTCACGGCCTCATATGACTAGGCACTTAATAATTATTTGCTCTTGTTGCTGATGATACTGACTTACTGAAAACAGAACCAATCACTAAAGCTTTTGCTACCAGAATAGCAATTCTTGTGACTTAAATTTCTACCCTGTTATGTTATTAGACTGTTGAGGAGCACTGTTAAATACTAAAGAATGATATAAGTAAGGGAATGAGCAATCTTTACTGAGTTGTCTACCTGCATGCACAGTAGTAGCCAAGAAGCTAGAGAAGAGGCATCTAAGATACAATTTTGGATATTGAAAGGGTATTTAGTCTGTTGCACACATAAATCACGTGAAAGCGACACCATTAGAGAAAATGAATCGCTGGGGTAATTTTATCTAGCAGGTTTCAGATGAGGCAGAGGTGGGCTAGAAAAGTTGGGGCTTGCCTGAAGGAGTGGTAGAATTAGACAAGTGCAGGAGAGGATGTGTCATTTGTGGTGACATGCCATAGGCTATTTTTGAGGCAGGGACACAGCAGGGAACACAGAAGACACAGTTTCCACCTGTGTGGAGCTCACACTCTGATGAGGAGAGACAGTGATTAAGTAAATACACGATCAAGAATTCCAGACAGGGATGATAAGTGCTGTGAATGAATAAAATAGACCTGTGTGTTAAAGGGTCTGAGGACTGAGTATTCCAGGCAGAGGATAGTTAGTGCAAAGACCCTGTGACCATCATGAGGGAAGAGGCCTGTGTGGCTAGAGGACATGGAGAAGGCCTGGGGGTAATAAGGTGGGCAGGCCCCAGTGGGGCTGGTGGGGCCAGGTAAGAATTTGCATGATTCTGAGTTCAATGAGAGGCTATTATCGCGTTTGAAAGCAGGGGAGAGGTAGCTTTCAATTGGTGTCTGGATCGGTGTTTCTAAAATTATAGCAGTAGACTAGTTGTTTTATTTCTAATCTATTGCAGATCAGAATTTTTGTAAAATACAATAAACATGAATTACCAGAAAAATGATCACATGCTTAAATGTCACAGCAATGTCAAATTGCTCTAAATGCTTCTAAATAGTTATTAATTTCTGTTATCTCCTCTTAGGCCAGTAGCATGCAGTCCCTGGACTGGGATTGGTGTGTGATTGTGCTTTGAGTATCACCTTTTTAGAAGGATTTCTCCAGTTGCTGTCGAAAGAATAAATGGGCCGCAGGTAGATGTGCTGGCTGTCCCTTCTAGTACAGACGCAGTATCTCTTCTCATAATTAACCCCTGAGGGATTATGATGTGATATGGATAGCTTGCCAGAGTCTTTGGGGGCTGAAGAGATAGACTCTAGCTTGGCTTCTAAGAAGCAGCTTC